CTTACGCCGCCGGTGGTTGCAACGGGAAAGCACAATTTAGATCAGACGGGGGTGAATTAACCAGAAAATACCAGAATAAATTGCACTCCTCATCCCCCCCGCCCCTTGTCCACGCCGTCCGTACCGTACAGGAGAGAGGACCATCCCCTTGTTTTGCATTACGCTACGCTTCGTACGACGTGGCAGCGGTGGCGGACTGAAGGTACCTCGTGCAATAGAGAGGTGCCGGGGGGGGAGGACAATAATGGCTCAATCCAGAGACTCCGGTGGGGTACGGGAGGTGATACCGGGGNGTAACGGGAAAGCACAACTTAGATCAGACGGGAATACCAGAATAAACTGCACTCCTCATCCCCCCCGCCCCTTGTCCACGCCGTCCGTACCGTACAGGAGAGAGGACCATCCCCTTGTTTTGCATTACGCTACGCTTCGTACGACGTGGCAGCGGTGGCGGACTGAAGGTACCTCGTGCAATAGAGAGGTGCCGGGGGGGGGAGGACAATAATGGCTCAATCCAGAGACTCCGGTGGGGTACGGGAGGTGATACCGGGGTTGGCGTAGGTCGTCTCCCACCATCTCCCATGGTATCATGGACACTGAAAAATATATGGCATTGTTCACTTGTGGATTGTGATCCTCCATGGCGCTAGCGCTCCACCGCCACGAAGAGGCTGCCGAGAATGTCGGACTGCGAGGCGGGTGACACTTTTTGTGGATTCCATTTTGCTAAATACATTCACTCTTGTTGTTAGTGTGGGGGTAGGGGCTATTTAGACTAGAGTTGCTTGTTCTTTTCATTGTATGGATTCTATCATGATATATATCATGGACACGGAACTGTATATGACATTGTTCACGTGTTGATTGTGATCCTCCATGGCGCTAGCGCTCCACCAGCACAAAGAGGCTACGGAAAATGCGGGCTGCGGGGCGAGTGGCTTTGTCTGGATGTCATTTTCTTGAATATATTCACTCTTTTTGGGGGAGTAAAAGCTAGACTAGAGATGGTTGTGGTTTTCATTTTACCGCTTATGCATCTCGTCTCCGTTCTGTTGGGTGTGGGTACGAAATCTTTCGGTCACACCATATATATGTGTTTGTTTTTCGCCCCCCGTCTTGCTGCACCCCCTGGGGTATGGTGCAGGGCGGGGGATGCCTGGTCGGCGGGAACCCGGCACGGAACCCTCCGGCGTTGTAGGCGGGTGTGGGAAGCGTTCCCCGTTCTCCTTTTATTTTATTTTGATCGGTCTCCTCGACGCTCTTTCTCGTTTGGTGCTGTAGCTGGTCTTTCTTTCTATCATTTTGTTTCTCTTTCGAGTGGTTTTTGTACCCTATTTTTTTCTGTTTCTTCGTGGGGTCGTGTATGCCGGGTTTTGAGACCACGGGCTCCCAATCTTTCTTTTTTAGAGCTAACGTGAGAAACAACAACAACAACAACAACAACAACAACAACAACAACAACAACAACAACAACCATCCTCAGTATTTCGTCGTGCAATGAGCCTCATCATGGCTCAACCTACGCGGTTAGTTACTGAGATGCGCATGGTACCCCCTCGGTCTTTACATCGATGAAAGATCATATAAAAGGGCAATCAACCACATGTTAGGGGAGGGTGCCCCTATTCGATAAAGTTACACCATTAGACTAGTCAGCGCTGACTAGTCTAATGGTGTAACTTTATCGCTGACTCGTCTAATGGTGTAACTTTATCGAATAGCCCCCTCTCAGCCTACGCATCAGAGGAAGATCAACGCAGCGTCTACATCAAAACAGCGCCTCAATCGACTTGTCGAGACCTATCATCTGTGAAAATATGAGAGACTGTCATATGATCGACAATGGTGATCGGGGTTGTAGACGCGCCCCGTTGCTAACAGCAGCTGGATACAGTATGGGATCCTG